TTATGTTTTGGAAATAGAGATTCTATGAGTTGGTAGTCCAAACGAAAGAAGCTGTGTTAGGTAAACTCGTAGAAATCGATCCCATTTTCTTAGTTCATGAAAGAGATATATGAACTATATAAACCTTGTGTTACAAAAAAAAAAGAACTTTTTTTAGCAAAAAAAAAAGAACTATATAATACCATGCATACTTAAAACTTAAAAGCATGCTCTAGATCGTAACTTTCTCTACCAAAAAAAAAAAAAACTTTCTCTACCAACCTGTAAACACAACAAAAACTATGGGTGATCTCCCCGACCATCTTCTGATTCTTCTTCTCGTCCTGATCATCGTCGTGGTCGTGGCAATCGTCATTGTATTCGGGATTTGCATGATGGCGAAATACTTCGGGTTGATGGAGGCTGTCGATAAGGATCCTCGAGAAGCAAATGAAACCGAGCCTGAAGCGTAACAAGATATTTTCTTTATCTTCATCTTCCCTAAAATCAGCCTCTTTGTTGACGAGAACTATCTCTTGAAGTGCATTACTCAAATGGCTTCTTAGTAGTGTCTTTACCCTTATCTAATCTCAATTGTAAAATCGATTTGCTGCAAATACTCATATATATATATATATGGTCTCAAATTTCTCTAGTTTCGTCAATGTATTTAAGGTTATATATATATGATGTTTATATAAAGCTTATAAAAACATGAACACACTCACATGAAAGCTTATATAAAGAAATTCTGACAAAACCATGGTTGGTTTTGCTTCTATTGGCGTCACATGTACGTACGCTAGAAGCTATTGTGACAATTTAACGTCAAATCTTCCGTAAATATATGTTAATATGAAAATGGGCTCTCGTCTCTTCTTTCGCTTCGCTTATGTCGACGGCGAAGATTTAACAAAAGCTCCGATGGCGAGTCTTTCGAGCTTGACAAAGCGGTGGCTCTCGAGTCCCATACCATATCGCACATGCAGGGCCGGTCTTGGGGTAAGTCGGGTGAAACATTCGTCTTGGGCCCCCAAATTTTTTTAAAAAAATTATATGTATATAGGTCTCCGAAAAAAAAAAATTTAGGTCTCCAAATCCAAAAAAAAAAATTTAGTTGAAATTGTTAAAATATCGTCTTAGGCTCGCAATCTCAGGCCGGCCTTGCACACATGGGAGTGTTCAAATGAGGCTTGGGAAAAGGATAGACATGTCAAGGTTTATTCAGATCGAGAAGTTCAAGGATCTTTTGGTTTCTAGGAGCAAGAAGAGGAGTTTTCACGGGTTTAACCTTAAACGAAAAACGTTACAGAGCAAAAGCAATGAAAGATAGTAATTGCTCAATTATTAACGCCACTTAGCCTTATATGTCATTTAATAATTCAAAAATGCAGCTTAATTCAATTGATACACTCAACAAATTATCGATCACATCTTACTTAGACCATCTCCACTGCCATACTATTTTTTTCTCTATAATTTATATTAAAGTAAAATAATTCTATTATAATATAAACAAATTTCCAATAATTTACTCTATAATAGAATTATTATATTATATACTGAAATATAGAGAAAATAATGGTATTACTTTTTCACTCTATATTAGAGTTACTTTTTTATGAACTCTAGAATAGAGTTACTTTTTCACTCTATATTTAGAATGAAATAATGGTATTATTCTATATTTCAATATATAATAGAGTAATTCTATTATAAAATAAATTAGTGGGGCTAAGTTTACTCTATAATAAAATTATTCTATTTTAATATACATTATAGAACAAAAATAGTGTGCCCATTGGAAATGCTCTTAGCCAATTACTATAGTTCAGTTTTAGTTGGTTTGCCAGATCAATTCAATCTAGCCAAAATGCGGTTGACTATTATAAACTAAATCTGTAAAACCTATAACATAAAATTAACATAAATGAACCCATACAAGAATTCATCACAAATTAAGCATGTCAATATCCTACGAAAGTTTATACATTTTTCTATTAACATCTATAATAAACCAAGACTGTAAACCGAAAACATAAATTTAATATTATAATCAAACATAAAAATATCAAGAACGTCACTACCAAAGAACTGTTTATCATGTAATTTAAATTTAAGTATACCACAATCTAAATCAATAATTTTGTAAAATATTACAATGTTCTACTCAACAGATATTTTTGATGCACACAATCTAAATCAATAATTTTGTAGAATCTTAAAATCAATGACATTACAAATACAACTCCTATTTTTAAAGGATTACGAAAACAGTATCAATCTTACTAAAACAATCTGCATATTTTGTTTATTCAGTTTTTAAAACGTGTAAAAGTGTTTGACTAAATATACAATTATACATTTTTTACACTATACCCCTTATTATATATCATTGTATTGTTACAAATCTAATATATTTTTAAGTGGAAAATTATAGAAGAAAAGTAAAATTGGAAGAGGCGTCATGACTTTGCCAAACCAAAACGGCAACCCTTGTGTTTCGATTGCACCGTTGCATATTTTACCTACCAGAAGATGATACTAGTCAAAGACAAAGAAAGCCAAGATAAATCTTCATCAACTGTATCGATTTTGGAGATCTTTGTAGAAGAGGGTTTGAAAAACATTCCCAAACCAAAACATTATACTGGAAATCAGAAGTCTTATACTAAGTTATTACACTTGAAATTTTTTGGACATAACAATTTCACCCTTGTTACAACTATGTCCAGAGTAGCTAGTCTATTTAAAGCATAATCTGGGTTCCGTTAGTTATACCAGTTAATGAAGTGGTGCAGTTGACCATATATCATTGACCTGATGACATTTGTCTTAACACAATATAGTCTTTAAAGCTACAATTTTTTTTTTTTTTTAACATTAGTAAGAACAATTTTTTTATAGAATCACATGGTCACTCCAGAATCCAAAGTCACTCAAGCAAATAAGTTAATAATCATGGTAACATTATTGTTCGGCGGGTAACGAGACTACCACTAATTTGAGATAAGAAGGAACTATAATCATCACATATTGAAAACATACATATTTTTTCACTCATATGTGAAGTACTTTACGTCAAAGTCTAAACATCAAAACATATAATAGCCAATGAACGTAAGACTCAAGCATTTTTTTCTAAAAGAACTTTACAGATGATGATGATGATTTTCTTTGACCAAAAAGACAAAACTATGTATGAGAAGGTTTTATTGAATTAATTGTAAATCTCTTCTATAATTATTATTTTTATCGAAAGTTCCCAAATTGACAGAAGTAATTTGATTTTATATTTTTTTTACTAGACTTTAATTTGATTTTGTGTTCTAGGGTTTAAATCTGTCTCATTCCTTTCAAGCCTTTTAGGTTTGCAGATCAGTCGGCAAATTAACTACTAAATGCAACGTATGGATCAGGCCAAGTAGCTCTTACACTTATCAACACTCAAAAGTCGGTCCTACAAGAGCTGAACCGGAATGGCATGAGGGTTCATTCCAGCAAGAACATCTCTTTAGTTATAAATACAAGTTGGCCAAGGGAGGAAATGACTTAAAGAGGGTCTGTTTGCCTTTTACAATTGAGTTAATGATGGTACCAATACTCTGGAGTCGTAACCAACTAAGCTATGTTGAAATAATCTTTCTAGTACTATTTAACAGTTTCTCAATAAGCAATCACCAATGTTAAGTACTTTTAAGTCCATAACCCTCACCAAATTCTTAATTTTATTAGTCTTGAAATTACATCATACTCTAGTATATAAATCCGACATTTATCGATGTTAATCACGTTACTATATAGTGTCCAATAATTTACAGTTATGTGATGAACTAGCATCAATCTTATATATTCGAGCGTTAACTAATGATTCATACTCTTTAAACCCAACACTTCTTTCTCAATTAAAAAAAAAAAAAAGAAGAAAGAAGAACACTATATGCGTTCCTTGTACTTTTTGTCAGCTTCCACTTTTTCACTATGTAGACCCATTCATTGTTTCTTCCATATATATGTTACACACCACAACATCCATTAGTTCTATAGTTTGAAATTTCAACCTACAATATATTTTTCATAGTTTATAATTCTTGACCCAGATCTTAGATATAGGAAGTTTCTAGTTCTTAATTAGCCTCTTGATATCTCAATCTTCTTATTACTATCGCTCAGAGATTAGCTTTGCGATTCATGAAATGCGTTTTCACACAAACCACAGTGGATATATCACTGCTTAAATTTAGGGGTTATTGGCAACACAATTCTCATCAACTTTAAAAATTTCAAAATTCTATTATTTTTGGTTTATGGCTTTTAGAAATTTAATAAAATATATATCTTGTTATTGGTTTAACAATTTTCAAAATCCATTGTTATAAAAAAAGTTTTGTTATTGTTGATTTTTAAATTCTAACCAAATCTAGTGTTATTGGGAGAATAATTCTTTATATTTTTACTTATAGAAATTCTTTCAAAATATCATGTGTATCCATGAGATTTTCAAAATCCATGTGATAAAAATGTGAAAACAGAATAATTGTTCTTACCAGATATCTATTGCACATTCAATTAAAATTATAATTCATTACATTTTACACTTATTTTTTGAATGAATTAATTTTATTTTTTATTTTTTGATCAATAAATAAAAATTAAAAATAATATATGAATTGCTAAATAAACATATAATATAGTTAAATTTGTTGATATAATATTCATGATATCATATTAACATAATTTTATATGTATATTTATTGTATTATTTTTTAACAAACAAACATATGTCGATAATACCATAACTAAGGCGTGAATTAAACTTTCCGAATAAACTTATTCTAGTGCCATTCTAGACCACCACCTACCTGTAGTTAATTCACATTTACTTCGCAAACAAAACTTAAGATGGAGATTTAAAATTAGGTTGCTTATGTTTTTTGAGTTTCTAGATAAGTGAAAAACTGCTGACAAGAAAAAAGATAAGTGAAAAACTTTTAAAAAGTTATTTTTAGGTTTTCCTGTGACGTTGACAAAGCTGACACTGTAAAAAAGACAATTCATACCGGCTCTAACGGTAACATTTAGACCGAAAAAGAACACTGCAACTGGTATAAATACGACTGTATAAATAAAAGAGCGTACAAAAATATCCTCCCAAAGATTAAAAAAAAACACACACACGACAACAACGCCTAGTAGGGGTAGTACAGTCATTTGAAGGAATATACACACGCTGAATGTTACCAAGCACAAGTAAAAAAGAGATGTGTATTCAAGAACAAGAGGAACTGAGAAGATTCGCTTTACTGTTTCTTTTCTGACTTATTATTGATTTAAACAGAACTTGTGTCTCTTTTGCTTCCCTCTCCCTCAGTATCTGTTGCACAAATGAAAACACCTGTTTTGTTAGAACTGAAGGAGACCAAGATTATGAGTAAAATAGACTGATTATAAACTCTGTTCTAGTAACTAACTAATAAAGTTTCCATCAATGTTTTTTTTTTTTAAATTAAAGTTAGTTTTACCAATTTTAAAATTGACTAAAAGGACTATATATATATATAGTTATAGCAACTTATACCTGAAGAAATCTCTTTCACGTTTGTATGAATCTCTAGGCATTTTCTGTAACTGGACCAACTGTCTTTTTAGTCTGCTTCATTGCATCCTCCTTGCACAAACTTGCTTTTGTCTTGTAGGGTGCACGTTTTCTCACCTTAAGATTCTCACTCGTTATCATGTAAACATTCCCAGGTTCAGGGATGGTGAAATCAGCAGGGTTTTTATTCACACTACACACAATGGACCCGGAACTGTTCTTCTGAGGTAACGCAGAAACATTACTGGAACTCTCTGCTTTTCTCTTTTGGTTCATTTCTTTCTCTGTCACGTGAGTTTTCAAAGGGAGCTTCATGGAGTTAGATCCCCTGAGAAGCTGGAATCTCCCTTGGTCATTGCTGCTAGGAAACACCTTGTTTATCTTCTCTTGCTGATGATGATGTTGATGATGATGGCTACTCCATGGAGTTTGTGCGTTTTGAAACGAAAACGAAGACGTACCAAGTGGTGGACCGAGAGGGAAACTCTTGCGAGAAGCCTCAGGAGCGAATCCATTGCTGTAAAAATTGAAAGGAGACTGCTGCTTAGTTGTGTAAGCTGCTGTCTTACTAGAGTTCCCTGTTTCAAGCCCTACACGTTCCTTAGACGGTGGAAAATGTCTTCTAGTGAAGTTAGTGTTCCCTTGGTGCTCAGCTGGAGCGTTTGATCTCAACCTAGGATCCATAAGGCTGAGCAGATTCAATGCCGGTATAGAGCTCTCGTTAGAATAGGCGTCCACTGATCTAGTACCATCACATCTTTGCTTACCGTTGGGAGCAGCAACAAAGTTGAGGTTCCACGTATTGTTGTTATTGCTGGAGCCAAGCCTCGTTGACTGATGATCCATGTTGAAAGAAACTGGTGTAGGAGGATGACACTGTGGTCTCACCATGGAAGGTGGTGGCCAGCTTGGATGAGAAACATGAGAAGATGGTGGTTCTCTGTACTGATGCGGAACACTCTGGTAGCATGTGTTACACCCACGTAATACTCTATATGAGGAAGAAGAAGATGGGTGCTGGTTAGCCATAGCTGGCACATTCCCAAGCCAATTGTGACCAGAAGAAAACCGGATGGAGTTAGATCGGTTCTCTTGAGTAGGAGGAAAGATACCAAACGGAGAAGGCACATAAGGCTGTCTTAATGGGAAGAAGTCTAGAGGTTTCTGCTGCGGTTTTAATGTGTTGTTGTTGTTGTTGTTAGCCTCCAGTGAGGTCTCATGATTATCATAGGTTTCATTAAGATCAATCAGTAGAGCGTTCTTGGATCTCTGTGCTGTATCTTCTTGTTGTGGCTGCTTGTTGTTGCTGACGTCTTCTTCTTTGTCTGGGAGACACCTCTCGTATTGGTTTTTAGCCATGAGCTCGGCTATCTCCAAGGTGATATCATCGTTTTGCTCTTCAGGTGTGTTCTCCTTTCTATCATGGCTTTTTGCTCCTTGATGTTCTTGGACCATTATTCTCTTCCCTTTCTTGTCTGAACCAGAAGCATCATCCTGCCAAGTAAAATGATTAAGTTATTATCCTGTGGTCTAATAACTGAACCACACTAGTTTGGAATACACAACAATATAGAACTTTAGCTAATCATGCAAGGAAGTCCATGTAAGCAGGGCTGGTCCTGAGATTTTGGGGGCTTCACGTGATTTAGTAAAGATTTTAACAAATTTGGGAGCCTATTTCTTTGTAAGAACCAAGCCTTTTACCTTTTGCAGCACAGAAGATAGATCTGCAAGGCCTTTGTCTGTATTGTTGTTGTTGTTGTTAAGGCTGAAGTCAACAGCATCCACTACAGTTCTCAACCATCCACCTGTGTTGGACTTAGAAGAGGAACCACACTCTTGAAGACAGTTTCCTTCTGCACCTCTTGGTCTCACATGTACATTCTCTGGCACATGCAAAGAAGTGACTGGCCTATCATTAACCTGAGGAGGGATAGGTTTCCTGAAATACCCTTCTGCAGCTAAACGTTCATCAAGTGAACCGCCCACCCTTTTCGCATTCATCAATGGATCTTGAGTAGATTTGGAGCTTGCGTTTATAGAAGGACCGGAACTAAAACTGATCAGGCTACTCTTCTCTTTATCCATTACAGGCTTCGTTTTCTTCTTCCTGATCTTATTCTCTGTTCTCTGAGGACCATGAGTTGTTAAAGCATTCTTACTAGGACCAGCATCATTCTCATGGCTTCCCTCTTGAGATGGTACAAACTCGTCAACAACTTGGAATCTTCTGTTCTTCTTCTTACCCCTAATGTCAAACCCACTATCTGTTGAATCACTATCACCTTGATCAGAAGTTGCGCCCGCTGTGCTTAGTTTCCGGCTTACATAGTTGTTTTCAAGTGGTACCTTTCTTTTTCTACCTCTACCCTTGGAAGAAGAAGACTCTTCTTGTCTGATATTGTTGTTACTACCACCACTAGCTTTGGTCTCGGGGTCAACAATAAGCTCGCTGAGTAGACGAACCTTGCGAGTTTTCCTACGCTGAAACCCAAGATTTAAACTCTCTGATGACACTTTGTCGTCTTTATGATTCTTGATTGCCTTTGGTGGTGTATCATCAACCACACCAGCTATCTCTGATGACGCAAAAGTTGTCACGTTTTGTTGCTTCTCTTTCCAGCTGCTTGTACCCGTTGATGATTTGCTTACTTTAGATCTCTTGTTGCCTACTTGTTGTCCACTCGTTAGCTTTCTCATCTTTCTCCTAACTGTAGAAGCATCATCCATAGATGGAGGATGGACTTTCTTGACTAACGTAGTAGCTGCAACTGTTTGAGCTTAACTAAGTCAGCATTTTATTATTAATTTGCTAGACCAAATTAAGAAGAAAACTATATATTACCTGTCTGATCATCCTTCTGAGATCTTTCACAGTTTACATCCTCATTCTCCACAACAGCATTACCTGAAAAAAATAAAAATGATTACGGTTGTTGTTTTGAGTTATGAAACTAATTAAAAAAAGCAGATGCTTAATTCATTACCTGCAATATCATTTTCCCTTTCTTCCTCCTGATTAGTGATAGTTAGCGGATTCAAATTGGTTATACTAGGGATGATAACCGAAGAGATTCCATCTAGCTTTTCCCCACTTATACTTGTTAAGTTTGCATGTCCTAAATTGTAAACCAACCATTTACATGCATGAGTTCAAGCAGCATTTCACTCTAACTAGTATAGAACATTACTGGAAGTGAGTTTTAACTATATACCTTTTGTTACATCAGCATTGATATCTTTGATGCAGCTCAGACAACGCCACCATCTAAACTTTGGAACTGATAAAGAAGGAAGGGGATAGCTTTCATGGTTCCCCTCCGAGAACGGCCAACATCTTCTATGGTCTCTCTCACGCGTTTCAGCTGCGAATCCACTGCATTAAATTATAAGAAGAAAAACTTGATTCTGTTCATCTTGTACCTTCCTAATAATATATGTGCATTTAGAAGTGATCACATCATATACATATTATTGATCAAAGTAATTGGAAAATATGTAAGAGAAGTAAAGAAGGTTGATAACATAACGTCGATATATAATAGTAGACTCACCGTATGGAGAAATGATCACATTTTACCATATTAATCTCGTTGGTAGCGCCTGCGAGATCTATGGATATCGAGTTGATCTTAATGGATGAATCCATTGATCTGCTTGAAGGAGATTATATGGTCTTAGTGATGATTAACTTCCATCATTAACTTACTCTCTATGCCTGTTACACAAGTTAATATTGATTAGCATCAGCAAATAGAAAGTTTTAAGTAACAAATCACAATGTATTACTTGATGATCAAATTGTTGTTTCATGCAAAGAGAAAGCTTCAAAACCTTAACGCTCCATATATATATATAACACTAAATATAACTATCAATTAATTTTTTTTTTCATATAATCATGATGTTCCAAGCATATTCCATGAATATCCACATAAAATAACATTCATAACAACCATCCAATTAACTCTAGCTATAAAGTTCCATCAAAATCTAAAACTGTACACTCTAAGTTCTACATAAAATCAAGAACGAAATGCCTCACTACATAAATTGAATTATCGACATTTAACATTTTAAATTCAACATTAACCTATATTTATAAGACCGACCTAAAAACTAGGGTTTTCAGACACGAGAACAGGCAAAGCTGTAACCTTTGTCTCCATGACCAAAAAAAAGGATTCCGAACGGATACGTTACAATATAATCTCCGATTTACAAAAATTCCAAAAAATTTAAATTATTAATGTAAATTAGGGTTTTAAATTAAAATCATCTAAAAAGCCAATTAACCGATAACAATACACTTTAAAGTAACCGTATGCGATTAACAAAGATAAACCAAGCCCCACCAATTAATACGGGTCAGATCTACCCGCACGTGAATAGTCCGTGAAGAAACAAAAAAACCAAAGAAAAAAAAAAAAGTAAGAACATCGAAGAGACGGTATAAATGAACAGTGAAGCGCCCTCGGACAAAGAAAACACGAAGTCACCTACAAGTCAAGCTTAAATCTCGCCCGACAAGATCTAGCCATGTCCTAAACCCTAAAACTCAAACAGATCGGAGATTCATGTCAGAAACACGCACCTGAAGAGAATCCGAACCAGAGAATCAGGAAGCGAGATTCGAGCTCGATCTGAAGCGGCAAGGGAAGAAACTCGTATCGGGAGATTGAGAAGCTTCGAGATAAGAAGATTAAATAAGTTTGGAGGATTGATTCTTCGGGAGATGAGTAGAATTTGACTGCGAATTTTCTTGAAACCCTAAGACGACGTTTCCTGAGAGAGAGAGAGAGAAAGGGGGATTTTTATTTTCTTTGGTTTATAGAGAGAGACTGTTGGGAAAAGAAGAGAGAGAGAAACGGAAGGTTTCTTATCCTTGAAATGAGGGTTTTATTGCGTCGAAATGCGTGTTTTATTTAATTAAAAGTAATACTTTATTGCTATAAAAATTAATTTATATTTAAAAATAAAAAACAACTCATCTGTGGAACATGACACTGCCATGTCACCATCTGGTCTGCCTATTTCTATTTACACGAGTACCTTTCTGTATATTGTGTACACGTATATGTATCTGTATAGGTCAAAAGTTAAAAAGATATATTTCTATTTATGCAATATTTATTATTTTTGTGAAAATATCTTAGCATTAATGTAAATAGCTTTCATTAGGGTAATAGGTATCCGAAAATTAAACAACAAGATAAAATAATTTATTTTCACAAGATTTCAGTGTTTTGTTTTTATAAGGAAACCCATCTTTTTTTTGTTACGTTGAAAAATTATGTATTGACGTTTCAGTGTGATAGGATGGGGCACAAGGTACCAACGATAGACCTCCACGTGGCCGTAATCTGCGGTTCTTATCACAACCCATTTGCTGTGTCCGAAAAACAAAGAAAACCCTAGGCGCGTGGTTGTCACGAGACTTCCTTTTCGCGTGTGGCCACGTTTCGTCCGTGGCGAGGATCGGAGAGGGAGCGTCGGCACGGAGAACGGGAGAGATTGGAGCGTGAGGGCACGTGAAAGGAGTGAGAGTGGAGAGAATGTGTGACAGGAGGGAAAAAAATAAAAGCCCTAAAAGCATGATAATATTGTATGGGTAGGTGATGTTACCCTAGATGAGCCCATTTCCTCAATAAATGATAAGATTATTAACCCTAACATCCTTTTTCCCCATTTCAAAAATTTACCACAGTAAAAATCAGACTATTTGGTTCACATAAACCAGGTTTTTGTATATAAATATGTATTAATCTGTCATTACTGTATATGAATTTGTAAGTACATTAATGTATTTTAATTGATTTCTATATTTTCGGTGGTAGAATCATCACATGGTGCACCAACCTAATGTGATGCCCTATGATGTAAGCGAGGTTTATACAAAACATAAAAAAAATCCAACTTTGTTTTTCTTTAGACCTTTTCGTATTCGATACATACATCAATTAGTTGGATGTTGAGTCGTTGACTCTGTTTTGTTTATCAAAATCCGTAGGTATAATATAAATTTGGATTTAACTGTTAGACAGCTAATACGATCTTTTTAATTACATTTGCACGTATTATTAGCACACACGCATATATTTACAAGTGACTCGGTAGATCATCAAGCTGTGTTAATAGATTTACAATCGTATAATAACACTAAATACTAAACTAATTAGCAAAAAAACACTAAATACTAAACTTGGTGAAAGAAACTACTGTATCAGGTAAATATATGTATTGCCTCTTCGAAAATAATATATTATACATTAAGATGCGTGATAGCTTCAGACTTTAGTGGGGCTTTATCCTTTATAGCACATTTCTCTCTCCTTGTGATACTGTATTTTTATATTATTTTTTTCGGTAAATCGGGTTCTTATTTCTTTCCTAGTTTTTGTCGGCTTTAAAGTTTAAAATATTATTCTTTCCGTAGAAATTTAGGTTTGTTACTTAAGTTTATTTTGGGGAAAAATATTAATCTTCTTTTTCTCTCCACTGACTACTTTTGCCAACATAATTAGATCAATTTTTATTGTTTGACGCAGTTCATTATGGTTTGACAAATTGTGATATATATGTCAAAACGTCTCAGGGATCCATTTTGAAAATTAAGATGCAACATTTTTTTTAATTACAAAACTGCAGATTACATATATAGTACCCCCTCTAAGGTTAATAAAGTTTACTCAGTGTTAAAAAAGCTTTTTAAAATTAATGTAACTCTATGGAAAAAGAGCACATATTCGAGATTATCCTTTGGGGTGGGGGGGGGGGGATAATAAAGCGAGGATCCTCTCTTCAACAAACCAAATATTTTATCTAGGCCGTATAAATCAAGATTCATACACTTTTGAAATATTATCATCAGACTTAGTTTGTAACTAGAGAAAGGAGATTTAGTATATAATTAATTGGTGTTAAAAAAGTATATAATTAATTGATACACTTTTTAGGTTTGCATACGTGCACAACTGCACATTAGCAAGTTTGTATATGTAGAAAAAGCTATAAACACAAGCACTTAAACTTACATATATGTATAGAGAAAGAGAAAAGAAAAATAAAATAAAAGAGAACTTAGATGAAAAAGGACAGCTTTAAGGAGATGCTTTGGCCACCAGCGATACCATCATTTAAGCTTTGCATGTGCCTCTCTGTTAGCATCTCGACAACCACATCAACCTTCTCTCTCTCCCCTTTTTAACTCTTGGATTTTTACTTCTCACACACACCCCAACATCATCATATCTATTTCATACATATAATATATGCCTTTACATACTCAGTTTCATGGATCTGTGCATCACCTATATATATCTTACAAATCCTTCAAGTTAAAAAAAAAAAAACTTCGAGTTTGTTTCATCTTCATTTACAAAACACTTAACTTTTAACTCACACTCTAGTTGGGAACACAATCTCTTGGCCTTGTAAGCCAGTATATACATATATGTATCATATATATTATAAGTTCTTTGTTAGAAGCATTGAATAGTAATACATGATATACATCTATTGACAACGATCGTAGCTAATCTAAAGATACTTCGTCAAAAGTCAGTTTAGTAAAAAAATAGTATAAGCATTATGTGAAGATTACTGATTAACCCAAAAAATTAGGTTTATCATATATATTATGATGATGTATTCACATATATTGTCAATTATTTATACTAAATCTAAAGCAATTATATATTGAGAAGATCCGAAATCTCTTATTTATAAAAGAATGGTAGGTGATAAGAGCTCTTCAGCATACGGTGAACACCAGGTAGTCAGATACCATGGAGCAGATTTATTTTAAAAGCTCATTAATCAAGTAAATTGTGGTAATATTGACTGTTGATTTGCATCGTGGGCCATATAAGACTATTCAGATATTGGCTGTTCGTGTTTAATTATACACGCATTCTCTGTGGGCCATTAAAATTCCTTATAAGCATTCGAGCTAACTAGTAGTTTTATGCACGCAGATAAACACTTGCGTACGGTTCACTATGTTGAGATGTGTTAGCTCCTCGGCGACAATGAAATCACTTATCCTAGATCTGTTTGGGTCTCCGGACAGTTCATATATTTTATCCTAATATTTGTACGCAAAACAATAAAATTCACATCATATATATTGTTTTGGATTCATATAATCTCATCAAAATTACGGCCAGCCTCTATTTCATATAGTTTTGGATCCTTCCTTTTGTTCAAGAATTACAATATATGTTTTAATTAAGTATTAAAGATTGTAGTTTCATATAAAGAACAAACACACTAACACGTAAACATAAATACAAAAGCAAACAAATAATAGAACCTCAATAGTATTTCACTTAACCAAGAAAACTATTCCTGATGGATTCGGACAGATGTAATACTTTCATTTAAAATGTAAGAAACAAGTAATATTTCGAGAAAAGAGGACGCGTTGAAGTGTTGTAAATATATTGTGGGAACTATAAATTAAAACTGATCGAGGAGCGAGCGAATGTTGTTTGTGGAACCAAATCGGACGATATTAGTGTGTGATTTCCGAAGTTCGAGTTTTAAATTTCATGAATCACGTACAATACAATGTCACCCAGCAGCTTTACTTTCGCTAATCATTATATTTTTATTTAACGCATGATGATAATGCATGCATATGTGATATGTGGGTATGTTTGTTACGTACGTATATGCCATTTTCTAACTAATGATGATATTACTAGGTCTTAATTATGGTGGCAACGTAAACCCTCAAGCCACAATGATATCAATTTACCCCAATTTTCCACCAAAACATGGGAATACACGTTCGTCTGTTTATGTGTGTCTGTGTGGTATATATTACTACAGTAATATGCAATTACGAGAAAAGAACTGATAGTTATATATATATATATATATATATGTTAGATCACTACTACAGTTTTTATTTATGTATATATTTTCTTACTGCAACTTTAGTGGCACCTAAGTAAGTGTACAATTAATTTTCTTTCGACGACATTGATTAATTTAATTTTTTTTTATATAGGTTTTACGTATAAATATTTCTACACTATAACTTGTGTTTAATTTTTCTTCATTTTTCTCCATTTAAAAAGAAAATGCCAACTGGTAACTGAATAACAAAAAGAAAAAATTATGATAATCTGGTTATTTATACAACTTACAAGTCATACAAACAACGGCGGATTACAATATATATGTTATGAAAATTTACCTTATGAAAAATAGGCTATAATGTACTTTGTTTGTTTTATAATATTAGACATCATGTCTAAAAATACAAAAAAGTAAAAAAAAAGCTCTATAAAAAACAATTGAAATTATATATTAAAAGATTCAATCAATTATAAAAAGAATGTAAAATACAAATGACTGAAAAGTTATTAATAATTAAAACTAAAGTTAATTTTAAAATTTGAAAACATCTTAATTGAAACTTCATCAACCTTTAAAACATCATATTAAAGTGGAAGGGTATGAGTTAATCTAGAATTTATTTACAAGNAAAAAACAATTGAAATTATATATTAAAAGATTCAATCAATTATAAAAAGAATGTAAAATACAAATGACTGAAAAGTTATTAATAATTAAAACTAAAGTTAATTTTAAAATTTGAAAACATCTTAATTGAAACTTCATCAACCTTTAAAACATCATATTAAAGTGGAAGGGTATGAGTTAATCTAGAATTTATTTACAAGGAAAAAATGTTTCTATTTTATATGAGTGAACATATAGTTTATATGGTAGAAAAAAAATATTTCTAAAATTTTAAGTGTATCTATGTTAGACGCGTTACTGTTTGCAAAAGTCAATGTAATGCAATTAAAATGTCCCACTGACCTAAACTTTTCTTTTATGTTTGAAT